GAGATTCAAATCAAATCTGGTTCAAAATCCTTAACTTGTTGTGTATTCTGTCTGCGTTCATCCCGTGTTCTTTGTGAGTATGGTTGTTTCACGTATCTCTTGTGGATTCTTATTCAGCCCTAAAGGTTAAGGTTTTCGGATTCTCTTTGATTCGAACCTAAACTGGTTCAAAATCTGACTTTTAGCATTATCTCATCTATATTCACTCCATTAAGCATGAATCTGCATATTTCCGTTAATTCCTTTACTTACCCAAATTAGGGTTTCAGATCTTCTTTAATTGAACCAAATCTGGTTCGATTTTATGTTTCCTCTGAATAACCTCCTGTCTATGTTCATTCTATTAAAATATATGATTCTTTGCCTTTATTTTTTTATCGATTTTGTGGTTTACCTAAAATAAGGATTTCAGATCTTTGATTGATCCAAATCTGGTTCGATTTTGGTTTTCTTTTTTTGAATAATCTTCTGTCTACATTCATTGTATGCATTTTCTGCCGATTTTGTGAAGGTTTACCTAAAACTTAGGTACGAAACTTTTACTGTTTTTTTGATACTCTTTCCTTTCTTATATGGGACTAATATTTTCCTTATTTCTGTTCAGTCCACCGTGTTTTCTTTATTCCTTTATCTTATTTTGCCTTGAAACTGATTGTTAATTGATTTCATATTATATTTTTCTTATTCTAAGTGTTACTCGCCTAATTACACGCCATTATTCCCTAATAATTTACTGAACTCTGTATTATTTGTCCTAAAAATAGACTTCAATTGATTCTGTGATTAATTTCTTTCCTTACTTATGTGTGTTTGATTTCTTTCCGTATTTTCTCGCCTAATTGAATACTATTTAAACCCTTCTCCTTTTCCCCTCTAGACGAACTCGAACTCTATAGACTCTCACTAAAATTTAAAGTTTCTGGTTCTATACCCTCTCTGTTCTCGCTTACTACTGGTCTTGGCCGACTGAAAGCCAAGGCCAAATATTCTGGACTCTCAACTTCGTGGTATTATTCTGGTTTTGCTCGCTCAACTGGTGAGTGACTATCCTTTGTCATACCATTTTTATGTGTTCCTGATCTGTGTTTATAATCCAGCATGTCTAAGATCCCTCTCTAAGCATGATTCTGCCTGTCTACATGCTTTTCTTTTAATCCTATGGTTAACACTGTTAATTTAGATTAGTTATTTTGAATAATAAGAATCCTTTTAAAAATTAGCTTAATGTTTAACTTGTCCATGCATACTGTTTGCTAATCCTGCACCTGTTCTGAACTTTGCATTTTTAGGGTACTATCAATGTGTAATTAGTTAATTTATCCTAACTTTACAGATTAGTTACTTAATTCATATGCCCTGTCAATTTGTTGCTAACATGTTTGGTATCCCTCTGAATTCATGTGATAACCTGACTGTTTTGCCTAATTACTTCTGTGATTAAACAAGGTGTCCTAAATGCTAGCATTGAATACCTAGCTTAACTAGACTACTAAACAGACTTCAACTCATTTGAACTGTGTGTTTGAGCATGAACCTTGCTTGTTTTCTAGGTGCAACTCTGTCTACAAGTTCCATGTCTTAAACTTTATTTTCTTCTGAAATCAAAACTGTTTAAATCTGTCTCTCTTATATGATGTTGCTCTTTTAAAAAAAAACTTCCACTCTTAGTCCCTTAGGTTCTATCCTCAACTACCCTAGTATGAGCACTGCTCAGGGTCCATGTGAGACTCCTATGAACTCTGACGCACTGGGAACTGGTTCCTAATCTCTTTTAAAATATTTCTGAGTGTGCAGTTCTGGTGTGAGCATTGCCCTGGGTCCCTGAGGCCCTTGGGAATTTTGACACATTGGAAACCTAGTTCTACATGTGTTATGGGTGAGACATTCGTATTTGGCTATGCTGTACCTATGAATTGATCCTCGAAGTTGATTGGTTTGAAGGCCTGGTATTGGGCCTAATGAAGGCTCCCTATAGTGTATCTTATTACTATTATGTAATTCGTTTACTATTCTGGTCTGTAATAACTCTGTAATAAATAGATTCTAGGTTATTTAGTAAAATAGGGGGGGGGGGGATTTCTTATCTCCTTCTGTTAAACTGGGTAAAAATCCCGCCTATAGGGATTATCTATGCTATTAGTTCTGCTCATTTGTCAAAACTGTTAAGTTCTACGATGTGTTTAGAAACCCTGCCTATAGGACTTTCATTGGTGATGTCAATTCCGCTTAAACTCGTACGAGTTTTATATGGTGTGTACATTAGAAATCCTGCCTATAGGACGCATCAATATGTGTTAGCAATCATGCCTATAGGACCCCAATGTTTGATATGGGAGAAGGTGGGCGTGGCCTCCATGGAGGACAAGATGCGGGAAGCAAGACTCAGATGGTTCGGGCACATTCAGAGGAGGAGCATTGATGCACCGGTTATGAGGTGTGAGTGACTGGATGTGGTGGGCACGAGGAGAGGTAGAGGGCGGTCCAAGAAGTATTGGAGAGAGGTGATCAAGCAGGATATGGCGCGACTTAGGATTACTGAGGACATTGTCCTTGACAGAGAATTGTGGAGGTCGAGCATTAAGGTTGTAGGTTAGGAGGAAGTTGTGAATATTTCTACGGCGCACCAGAGTGAGACTAGCCAATTAGGATTTAGTTTTAGGATGCTAGTGGTTATCTACTGATGCAGGGCTTTATCTGCTGGTTATTGTTGTACTTTCCATCTATTTCGTATTTCTTATATTACTGTTATTTTATTAGGATTCTATTGATGGTACTAATGTATTGTCTCTTTGTCACCTTCTTGAGCCGACGGTCTCCTGGAAATAGACTCTCTGCCCCTCGGGGTAGAGGTAAGGTCTGCGTACACATTACCTCCCCAGACCCCACTTGTGGGATTACACTGGGCCGTTGTTGTTGTTGTATATCATGCCTATAGAATTTAAACCAATTAAGTAATGGATATCATGCCTATAGGATTGAAATCAATTTCAAAGCTAGAGATCATGCCTATAGGATTTAAGTCGGTTCAGTAATTAGAAAGCATGCCTATAGGATTTATACAAGGCTATGAAACATGTCTATGAAGCTAAAATCAGTGTGCATCTAGAAATCATGCTCATAGGGTTGAAACCATTTCGACATTAGATATCATGCCTATAGGATTTTACTAATTGGTTCTGAATACAATCGCCACTGTCAATCACTTAGACCATATGCCTATAAGACTTAATAATAATTCTGGATTCAGTAAGCATGATGCATTACTGTTTGAAGTACCCAGACGATATTCATTAAAATCAATAGGAAAATAATAGGTCCTAATACTCGCCTCAATGAAACTGCTTCTATATAACACTGCTCGCCTATTTCTCACATAGATATCCTGCATATAGGATTTTAAGATCGATAAAGATTGTCAATTAATTGCGTGCATTTGCTATTTATGTGCGGAGGTTAACATGAGCCCATATTCGCTTTGTATTTGCAAGTCCTAACATGTTTTGTTTGTCGCCTAGTCTTTTACATTTTGAGCAACCTAGGCTTAGTCTAGAACTATCCCGAATAGAGGTCCTAATACCTCTAGGGCCATAGGTAAGGGATGGGTAGTGCACGCATAGGAAAGGCATTAGAATTGACTAGAGCACTTTAGGTAACAACTTAAAGATAGTAATCGGGTAGCAGGAGATGATAGTCTGTGCCCGCTGAGTAATATGAGTAACACCCTGACTCGAGGGAGTTACGAAGTATTGTTTATGTTGCACAGGGTGATCTTTTAGGCTAAAAAATTTAGGACCCCCCATCCCTTATTAAGTATTTGTCTAGCTTCTTTATTAGACTAATTCAGAAATTAAGTTCAGTCGGGACCCACCGTTGTGGACCTCGAGGGGTGCCTAACACCTTCCCCTCGAGGTAATTTCGAGCCCTTACCCGATTTCTGGGGACGCAAACTGGTATAACATGAGTTATCTGCTCTAGGTGCCCTACCGCACCTTAATCCTTTAGGTGGCAACTCTAACCAATTCCTTTTTACCTACTCTCTCAAAGGAGTCATCAAAATGTCGAAACCCAATTTCGTGAGAAAAAGGGGCGCGACAACCATAACAACTTTCAAGCTTGGAGACTGAGGATGGCAATATAGGTAAAGATGTTCAACAGAGTAATTGGACTGCTAAAAATGTGGGAGAGAAAATCACACCTCCCAGTGGACATGGATAGCATTATGTGCTAGAATGTTAGGGATATGAATGCCTCTAACAAACAAAAGGAGATAAAACTCATTTGTAATAAAGAACATGTAGGTTTGATAGCTATATTGAAGACAAAAATTAAGACTGAGAAAATAGACCAAGTTGCCAGTAGGCTATTTGGTGGTTGGGGTTGTATAACAAATCTGAGTGAGCACTATAATATGAGAATATGGGTGGCTTGGAGACTTGATTGTTTCAAGGTTGACTTGCTGACTAAGAATACACAAGTAGTTACCTACCAGGTGAATCATGTTAGCCTGCAAGTTACATTTGTGTTGACAATAGTGTATGTTTTTAATACTAAGGAAGAAAGAAGAAGCTTATAGTGCTATTTCGAAACAGTGAGTAGAGGTGTGAATAGCCTATGGATAGTTATGGGTGATCTCAACTTTGTCTTGAACATTGAAGATATAATAGGAGGGAACTCTATAACAATGGCTGAGATTGCAGATTTTCACCAATGTGTAGAGAACTGTGAGCTGATGGAATTGCCTACAAATGAAAGCAGGTATACCTAGAATGACAGACATGGAGACAGTAGGATTTTATCCAAGATTGACTGGTATTTATCAACTCAAACTAACTTAAATCTATGCCCAAATTCAGTGCACAATACCTGAATGAAGGAATAAGTGATCACTCTCCACTCAAGCTAACTCCTCTTAATGCATACAGGAGAGCTAAAGCAGCCTTCAAGTATTGCAATGTGTAGGCTTCTCATCCTAACTTCCTAGATGTGGTGAAGGAGGGATGTGACCAGCCAGTGCAAGGCTGCAGCATGTTTAAAGTAGTAAGGAAGTTAAAAATGTTAAAGTACAAGTTGAGGGATCTAAATAAAAGGCACTTCAACAACTTTATTGCTATCGTGAAGATAGACTGGCCCTTGCTAGAGCACAAACAACACTACATAGTAGTCTCTTGGATATAAGGCTGCAGGAAGAAGAACAGAAGAGGCTCCACAATTTCATGAATCTTCCTACCTTGCTGAAGTTTTCCTGCAACAAAGGATTAAAGCAACATGGATTAAATTGGGTGATGACAATAACAAATACTTCTTTATGTGATCAAACACAGAAAATTACAATAAGCCATAATTCAATTAACCTATAATCATGGGATGGTACAAAATGACCAAGAAAACAAAACAAAAATATTTATGGATTATTATTCCGAGTTGCTAGGGAGAAGAGGTAGGAATAGGGTACAAACCTTTTAGAGTTTCTTGAGAATTGGGCAGACACTGACAACTGCACAACAACTACAGTTAGTTAGGCCATACACAACTGATGAGGTTATGGCTGCCATATTTAGTATAGAGAAGACCAGAGCCCTAGTCCAGATGGCTATGGGAGTCGATTCTACAAAGCCTCATGGTCCATTATTGGGGAAGAGGTGAAAAGTTCTATATTGGAATATTTTGATAATGGTCAGCTGCTTACACAGATCAGTTCCACTATCATTGCTCTTATTCCAAAGGTAGACAACCCCCTATTGGCTAGTCAATTTAGGCCTATATCATGTTGCAATGTCATTTACAAGTACATTTCTAAGATCATTTGTAAGAGACTAAGGAAAGCCATATCAGTGCTTGTTGCTTATAATCAAGCAACTAGTCACTTATTCACGATGTACTTATCTGTCATGTCTTACTCAGGCATTACAATATGAAGACTACTCCAAGGTGTTTGATAAAAATTGATCTAAAGAAAGCCTATGCCATGATTAGATGGGAGTTTCTAAAAGAGGTACTCAAAGGCTATGGATTTCCCATACCATTTGTACAACTGATCATGATGCATCTTACAACTACTATATTTACAGTTAAAGTAAATAGTGTTGGATATGGCTACTTTAAGGGGGAAGAGAGGACTTAGGCAAGGGACCCAATGTCTCCAGTTTTATTTGTGCTGGTCATGGAGTACCTAACTAAAGTGTTAAGGAGAATGAGTGACCTCCCTGATTTCCAGTATCGTTATTTCTTATGTTGGTAGACTACAAGTTATTAATGTTGTCCTCTTTTCTATTACTAATTTTTGGGGAGCTGTGTTCATACTTTCACAAAGTGTCATAAATGACATTGATAAAAAGTGTAGAGAATACCTCCGGGGTAGTATTCAATGGGTATAGGAAATTGGCATTGGTAGTGTAGGATACAATCTGTAGACCTGAGAAGTTTTGAGGGTTAAATATTAAGGGATGTAAGCTATGGAATGTGGCAACGGCAGGCAAAATACTATGGCAATTGATGACAAAAATGATGTATGGTGGGTCAGGTGGGTGCATGGCATCTATATGAAAACATATAGGAATATATGGGATCATCAACCGCCTATAGATTGCAATTGGTATTGGAAGAAGTTTAATAGACTAAAGCACAATATGGTATAATGAAAGCGCATATACACTGACTGCTAATGGTACTTACTCTGTATCAAGCAGTTATATTGCAAAGCAAGGTATAATGTTAAGATTGTGGGATGTGGACTTGATCTGGAGTGATGTTATGCTACCCAAGCAGAGTTATATTGTGGTTAGACAACCAACAAAAGCTGTTAACCAAGGAAAGATTACTAAAACTGCATATTCATGTTGTTGATGACACAAGATGTTGTTTGTATGATATGGGTGTCCTAGAGACTCACCAGCACTTATTTTCAGACTCTAGCTGGGTAAGTTCCATGAGGGGGCATTAACAAGTTGGTCAGGTATTCCCCTTCTAGTAATGCCAGTTCATGAGACCTTGCAGTAGATCAGACGAAGGCATTGAAGGCAATTTAGAAAAGAAGTAGTAGGAATTATGCTTGGTTCTATGGTTTATGATAAGTTACAAGTACTTTACTTTATGTTTTGATGATCTAACAAACTTAATATCCAGAACCAGATAAGGAACCTGTTACACATTTACAAGACCTCAAGATCACAGGGTTACAGGTTGAGATTCAGCGTGGAATATGATTCAACTCTTCAGAGTGGAAGGAACAACTGAAGGAACATGTCCCTACCTATTCCCGAGGAGACTGTACGAAGTCAACTCTCCAGCTGGAAAGTTGCTGCCTTCACACGCTACAGTACAGAAACAGTGCTGCAGTCAACTTTCCAGGGAAAACTTTTTACCTACCTTGCTTGAATCGTTGTAAGTGATGTCACACATGTATATATGCATTCAATGGAGGTAAAACAAATTACTTGAACACTTAGAGATTTCACAAGATCTCACTCACGTGACTATTCAGCAAGCAAGTGTCAAGTGCTTCAAGAACAAAGAAAAAAACAACTACAGACCAATTCCCACATAGAGTTATTATATGTCCTTAGTTGAGTTGTAACCTTGTAATAGTCTTAAACTGAAGTTCCTATCTCGCTTGTTTAAGAAGCATTCTGTAGGAAACCTTTGTAAAACTTAAACCTCTATGTTTAAGTCTTGGCTAGATTTAGTCAAGTTTCAAAGTCTTTGTAATAAAGTTATTTCAAAGTGGCTTGTAATAGGTGTGTTACAAGTTAGTGAGGAATTAAGTTAATTCCTAGGTTGCATAGGTTGTAATCTAAGATTTGCTCAGCAGTGAAGTTGAAATCCTACAAGGGTAGGTCGTGGTGTTTAATCCCGTAGAGCTGGGAATTTTCCACGTAAAATTCCTCTTGCCATTTAATTTCTGCTTTGTGTGTGTACTGTTGAATCTGATAGAGAACCTGGTTCTCTATAAAAGTTGGTGGACCCTTATATTCTAACAATTTGTATCAGAGCGGGTTCTTTCTATCAGGTTAACACCTAGAAAGGATCCTCATGGCTGCTCCTCCTAACTTCGAAAAAGGCCAGTCTACTTACAGACCTCCAAGATTCAACGGTCAATACTATGGGTGGTGGAAAACTAGGATGCACGACTTCATCATGGCTGAAGATTCTGAGTTATGGGATGTTATATGTGACAGACCCCTTGTCCCTACAAAGAATCTTGGCGACCCAGCTGTAGCCATTCCCAAGACGAGGAAGGAATTCAATGACGCTGATAGAAAGGCTATAGAAAAGAATTTTCGTGCAAAGAAAATTCTTGTGTGTGGCTGGCCTTGATGAATGTAATATGATATCAGCCATTCAATCAGCAAAAGAGATCTGGGAGGCTCTTTAGACAGCTCACGAGGGAACAACTCAAGTGAAGCAATCTAAGATTGATATGCTCACAACTGAATATGAGCTGTTCAGAATGAAAGATGATGAATCCATCCAAGATATGCATACTCGATTACCTCCATCATTAATGAGCTTCGAACTCTTGGTGAAAGTATTCCAAGAAACAAGCTTGTCAGAAAAATCCTCAGTGTACTACCTAGTTCTTGGGAAAGCAAAGTTAATGCCATTACAGAGGCTAAGGAATTGCAAATACTGACCATGGATGAACTTGTAGGAAACTTTGTCACACCTCCTTTTTACCACTCGAAAGGGGATATAAGGGAGTTTTTCCAATTAAAGCGACATAAATCGAAATGGAATTATTTTATTCATTTCAAAGTCGCCACTTGGAATATTTATTATGGTGTCCCAAGTCACCGGTTTATTTTTAAATCCTAAATCGAGGAAATTTTGACTTTATTTAAAAGTTTGCGAAACCAGAAATTCTAAGTAAGGAATTCTATTAACCCGGGAGAAGGTGTTAGGAATTCCCGGGTTCCGTGGTTCTAGCACGGTCGCTTAAACTATTAATATTGGCCTAATTATCTGATTTAGTACATGTTTTAAACCTAGTGTGTATTTTTAACTTTATTACCGCTTTTAATTATTTTAACCCTTTTTTGAGGTTTTATGGAATATATTTCTTGAACAAGTTACGATTGTCGTACACTTGCCGTTTTGGAACACACCGCAAAACGCGCTACATGAAATGCACCCGCGATTTGCGACATGTTTATTTTATTATTGTTCGAAGTTGTTATTATCGGGTCACATGAAATGCACACCCGAACTTGGGAATTAGGTATCATGACTACGCCACGGGAACCGTACCCATAGTCACAATAATTTATTATAAAACGCGCCTAAAGCAAACTACGAATGTTTAAAGTATTTTTCTATACTAGTTATGAATGTTCCAAGTATTTTCACACTAGCTTTGGTGTTAATGTGAGGACCATAGATTATGGGATTCATTTGTGGATGGCACGCCTCAATTTATTTCAAAAGGTTTTACTCAACTAAAACAAACTATGGATATTCATATTTAAAACTAATTTGAAATTAGGTATCACAACTACGCCACGAGAACCATACCCGTAGCTGTGATAATTTTAAATACGTGCCTAAAGCAAACTACGGGTAAGAAAATGAGCTACTGATATGAAATTGTTGAAGTAGTTTTGTATAGAGTAAATATGGAATAGAGGTCAGCTTATCAGGTCGTCCCATGAGTTACCGCTCCGTTTTCCCCATTTCTGCTTCTATTTGCCTTAATTATTGGCTTTATATGTGATCGGGCTGGTTGGCTCGGGTTCGGAAAGGTTTCGAGAAGGTTTGAGACACTTAGTCTCTTTTAAGAAGGCTTAAGTTAGAAAAGTCAACCGGATGTTGACTTATGTGTTAGAGGGCTTGGATGTGAGTTCCGACAGTTCGGATAGCTTCGGGGGGTGATTTGGGACTTAGGAGTGTGATCGGAATGGGTTTTGGAGGTTTGGAGTAGATTTAGGCTTGAATTGGCGAAGTTGATATTTTGGCGATTTCCGGTTGATAGGCGAGATTTTTATATAGAAGTCAGAATGGAATTCCGAGAGTTGCAGTAGCTTCGTTATGTGATTTGCGATGTGTGTGCAAAATTTCAGGTTATTTGGACGTGGTTTGGTTGGGGTTTTGATCAAAAGCGGAATTCGGAAGATTTTAGAAACTTAGGCTTGAATCCGAGGTGTTTTGGTTGATTTGATGTTGTTTGAAGTGTTTTGATGATTGGAACAAGTTTTAATAAGGTTTTTGGATATGTTGGTGCCTTTGGTTGAGGTCCCGGGGGCCTCGGGTAAGTTTCAGGTGGTCAATCGCACCATTTTGAAGTTTAGAAGCTACTGAAGTTTTGCTGTTGCTGGTGTTTTCGCACCTGCGGTTTGGGGACTGCAGGTGCGGCGCTGCACGTGCGGAAGGGCTATCGCAGAAGCGGAAAGGAGGCTAGGCGAGCAGTGACCGCAGAAGCGGTAAGGATAACCGCATCTGCGCTGCCGCAGATGCGGAAAGGCAGTCGCAGATGCAATTTTTGGCAGGCTAAGTGGAGTCCGCAGTAGCGGAAGAATAACCGCATAAGCGGTACCGCAGATGCGGTAAAATGGCCGCAGATGCGGAAATGTCTGGTCAGATTAAAATATTTCCTCCTTCGCGATTTTCAAAGGGTTTCTCACTTTTAACACAAAATTTTGAAGCTTTGGGCGATTTTGAAGAGAGGAAATCATTGTTCTTCGTTGAGGTAAGAATTTTGGACCCTAAAACACGATTATTTGTGATTAAGGAACAAAATATCAGTGTTAAATTCATGAAAATAAGTAGAAAAAGGTAGAGTTAGGGCTTGAGATTAAGAGACCTTCTAGGGATGATTTGTGGGGTCAAACAAACTCCGATTTTCGAGTTCTTTATATGTACGGACTCGTGAGATGATGAAGAACATTTTGGTATAAAGTTTGTCCAGTTCCGGGACGCAGGCCCGGGGGTCGGTTTTGACTAATTTCGGGTTTTGTGCTTAAAATCGATATTTTTCAATTGGAGTTCATTCGTTTAGCATAATTTAACGATAAAAATCTGAACTTGGTAGATTTGGAGCGCTCGGAGGTCGTTTCGAAGGGAAAAGGCATTTCAAGCTAGGTTTCAGGCCGGATTGAGGTGAGTAATGATTTTAAATGCTGTCATGAGGGTATGAAACCCCGGAATTTCACAGCGTACGGCTATGTTGAGGTGACTTACACGCTAGATGACGAGCGTGGGGTAGACCACGATGGGGATTGTGACTTAGTCCATCCCGAATGATTATTTTACTGCGTATTTGATAGTTAATTGTTTAATATTAATAGATTTTGGGCTAAATGCCATATGTCGGCTTCGTGTCAGCTGTTTGAACCCTTAGGGTATTTTTAAATAATATTTTCCTCACTGATTGATTTCATACTGGTGCTCAGTCATACTATATTTTACTATTTTAAAGACTCAGCTGTATTATTTTTTTTTGAAACACATTAAATGATATTTTCAAAGGTATTTGAGTTGAGCTTCATATTTTACTATGGCCCGAGGGGCTTATGAGATTCTGACTGAGTAAGGCCGAGGGCCTGTGTTGTGAGGATACATTTGGGTCGGGCTGCACGCTGGAGCAGTGATACATTGATTATGATAATGAGGCTGAGCGCCTGAGATTGTACGCCACGAGGTGGCTTGAGATATTGATATGAGGCAGAGAGACTGTTTATGATGCCACAAGATGGCTTGATATTGCGCTTGGGCCGTAAGGGGCCCCTCCCGGAGTCTGTACACCCCCAGTGAGCGCGGGTACCCATTGTGATTTGAGATATAGCCCGAGGGGCTGGTATAGTTTTGTGACATTGCCCGAGGGGCTGATTCTATTGCTACTGTGCCTGAGGGGCAGTTATTATGTATTTATTTTTTTGTTTCCTTTCCTGTATGCCGTTTAACTGTTAAAAATATGTTATGAGATTTTACCGCTTTATTATAATAACTGATTTGTTATGCCTCTTGTAGCTTAATATTGTGCATTACGTGGTTTATATTACTCAGTCTTCATTTATTTTTATTACTCACTAAGTTGGAAGTACTCACTTTACTCCCTGCACCCCTGTGTGCAGATTCGGGCGCTACAAGTCCTGCTCCTGAAGGTTGATAGTTCCAGCAGGTCTTCGGAGATTTACTAGGTAGCTGCTTGGCGATTCGCAGCCCAGTGCATTCTCCTTCTATTTCAGTTTCTTTTGATTCAGTTACGTAGTAGTGGACTAGACTCTAGACTCTCAGTATGGTTTTAGATACTCACGACTGGTGACACCCTGATGTAGGGCTTGTTGGTTTTTATTTCCGCAAATTATACTGCTAAATGCTTATTTTGGGATTTTTAATTTTGATTAAAGACTTAGTAGTTATTATTTTAATTGCTTAAAGTGAATTGGAGGTGTGTCGGCTGCCTTGTCTTCACGAGAGGCGCCATCACAACCGGGTTGAGTTTAGGGTCGTGATAAGTACCTAAGTCCAAAACCATGTACCTAAGCAGTAAGAGCATTGGAGAACAACTATTTGACAAGTTGGTTCTTTTACAATTTATATTTCACTTGAATTTTCTAATAACCAAATAGGATGCAACATACAAGTTTAAGATGATTTTAAAACCGTTTTAGCGAGAAAAATCCGGCAACAAATTTCAATATGCAAACAAAAAAAACTACATTTAATTCTCTAACGACAAGCATCCACATGAGTTCAAACACATTGCAATTAGACCTCATAAATTCCTAATCATTAAACATAGTTTCAATTCCTTCAATTCTAATAAATAACTATCTAATAACTTCAACAATTGCAGCATTAAGTATTGATCATAAAAGGAAAGACAAGCAGAATTTCAGGCTTAGGCAATTATATCTAAAATCAAACACGACTTCGACAGGAGCTCATCAATTTTTATTCATAAACTCAAAATAAAAAGGGACAAATGAGGATTTACATACCTAAATGCAGAACACAACAATCAAAGACCAAATAAAGGTCAGATTGGAGAGAGAGGATTTGGACTTGGACTTCTTTTTCTTAACAACATCAGAAACAGCAACAACAGCTACATTGGATCGACGCTGAGAATTAGGAGGCTAAAAGGCTTCTTGAGAGAAAGCTTAGAAGAGGATGATGATCCAAGAAAAGATGAGCTTTGGATTAAAATGGGCTTTTTAGCAGATCTAGTAGAATTAAAAGGCAAAGGTTGCAAAACTTTGTTGCAGAAAGAGTCGTCGCCATGTTTTTGGAGACACAGATGAACGAATTACAAGAAAATTGAAAAATTGAGATTGCTGTGTATTTGAGGGAGGAAAGTGTGGAGATGAGTTTTTGATGAGAGAGTGAGGAGTGTATGAGAAAAATGAAAAATGGAGAAGAAGAAGAACCACCCCGACAGTGTAGATGCGCCGTGTATGTATATCCAAGAGAAAAGGGGTCTCATTGTTCTCTTTTCTAGGTTTCCTAATGTGTGTATATATTAGAGTGTAGGAGGTAGGGTTTTAATAAAGAGAAAATCTCACTTTATACCTATTAAGCTCAAACTATTTACCTTTTAATACCCATGCCCAAACTATTTACTCTGCCTACCCAGTCGGCCCAATTTATTTACCCGGCCCCCATATTTCACGCGGCCCAATCTACCCATCTCTTCCTTATCTTCGATCCAGCCCATCTATTTCACCCGTCCCAATCTTCCCACGCTTTTCTTCGTTCTTTAACAGTTAACAAGTAGAGTAGAGTACAGTTTCCAAATCTCCATAGCCAACCGATGAGAACGCAAAATTGAAACACATTCAAGTTTTAAATTTTTTCTTCCGATTCTGTTCTATCTCTTCGTCTAGTACCTAATTTTGGGTGACATTTTTGCTTTGGGTGAAATTTTTGCTTCTGAAAGTACATTTTAGTGAAAGTGGGTTTTCAAAATCATAGGATTTTTGTGTTTTCCTTTGTACTTTTATGAATCAATGTCTATGGGTTGTTGTTTTCTCTATGGGTCGGAAGCATTGTGCGCGTAGATGGTGGCGCCGTGGACAATATCATTCTTCAACACAAGTAGCTGCTGAATCCGTTGCCTCAGCCATGTCTGTTCCTAGTTTTTCCTTATTTTCTGATTCTCAGTCTCCATTTAGTCGTAACCCTAGCAGTAGTCATGTTGAAAACACAACTGAAAATGTAGAATTAGAGGGTGGAAAAGGCAACAATATTAATGCTTCGTCAGTCGATGAAACTCCCTACCTGTCATTACCCGACACAAATTCCGAACCAGTCATAGGAGGTGTTCCTGCGACTGATAAGGGAAAAGGTAAAGTTGTTGAGGATTATGAGTTAGGGGGAAGCCGACGTGAATCCGTGCCTAAAACAGAGACTCAACCAGTAGATGTTGATTGTAGCGATGATTCTCAGTTAAAGAAGAAAAAAATTGGTGTCGCACCCAAGAAGGTAATTTTCTTACAATTATGATCTTTGAGATTTTTAATGTATAGTACATTGTTATTTTTGATTTCCTGTTATGCTTTTGTATTATATTATAGTTATAGTCAGTTGAGTTAAAGTGAATTCTATTTCTTCAAGTTCATTCTGTACATTTAAGAGAACTGTTGTAAATTTATTACGATTTCCATTTATCTGTTTATTCCAGCTATCTGTTTCATCAATGTTCAGTGCGACGTAATAGTGTTTATAGCTGTCAAAATCCATATAGACAGATTAAATTAATGTTCTGCTTGCGGTTTAAAAAGGGTCACTAATTCAGTAGCTGGTGTAGTCAACCATATTTATTGAAGCCAGAGCTGCTCTGTGTGATTTCTGATTTTCAGCTTTGCATTAGATGGTTTTGTACATGATTTAGTATTTAGCCAGTTGACAGTGGTGGAGAGAAGCATGGAAGGAATGGGACCGTGTAAGTTAGGAGTGTAGAATGAGCTTTTCTTTATAGGTGGCATTGTGTGGATGGGGTCAATGGGCGAGAAGCGCTGGTACTGTAGCATAAGTTCCTTGTCGAATATTAGCTATCTTGTAGTGCAATTTGATGTGAGTTTATGCTATTCTTTTACTTCCTTAGTAATCTCAAGAATATGCAAGATGAAAAGTATTTTGCTACTATCCTCTAAAATATGTATTTGATAGAATAGTTTCCGGATACTGTAGAT